GGGGGGGGGGGGGGGGGGGGGGGGGGGGAGGGTGATGTGGTACAGTTTGGCGCACAATCACATTTATGGTCCTGGTATCGAATCCCAAGTGATACCCATCCCATTATAGACTGGATAGATAGGTACTAGACTAGTCTGGAAGGACAAAAACGCTAACTTCTACATTGGCTGGCCATCGCAAGTCATGGAAAAGGCACCACGCGCCTTCAAACCGTTACTACCATTCTGAGTGGAAGTCGAAGGGGGAGCGCATCCCAGGACGTGGTTTGTTAACGTCAAATGTTTTTGGACTTTCATAAAGCTTCAACGATCTCGTAATTTAAGCTTGAACCTTTTTCAGGGCTTTCTTTTGACACATGAAAGACTTCACAGGACTGCGTAAGACTTCTCTCCACCCAAAACAATGAAGACGATTGTGGTTCAGATGGAAGTGAACTGACGTAAACATATTAGCACTATGGAAGCCTTTGAAACTGCCAACACTCTAACACACATTCCCACATACACACATTTCTTTGCTTATCGAGCATTTTGCTCGTTTCCATGGTTCCGTCGTTCCCATTGGCGTTTACTTCACCGTGCTGATATGCTATGCTCGACAACCCTCTCATTCTCGGTCTGTCTGCTTTCAGCGAATCTGTCTTTGTTTACTCATCTGCATCATCTCATCATATCCTAGAGATTATGGGAAAATATAAAATGTCGTGGAAGGGAGCAATGGTCGTCAATCCTCTTGGGAATGGGGGAGGGATCATCCTTTCAGCTCTTCTTGCCCCTACATGAACCCTTCTCTCCTTTCGCTGACTCTAGTCTCGCCCTGTTACATGGCCCAACTATTCCGAGCTTCATAGGCCCTATGAACTATTTGTACTCCTAGTCCAGTTATCCGAAGAAATGGCCCATATTGACTGACAGATTACTTTTCAAATGCTTCGGGAAGAATTATTTGAGCTTCGTTTCTGGGACTGTGGCTTGTGGTTAGTAGATCCTATAATTGAATTGCAACTGAATTTCCAGTCATTACCACCTAATAAAGTCATTACTACGGAATGAAGTAGTATTACTCAGCTACACTTCAACAATTTCGATTCCCGATAGATTTTTTTCTTTAAAAGACCTTGTATAAGCTCCTTCTTACGTTCGTCTTGAATCCCTCTCTAACTGATATTTATACAACTCTTCCAGCCAGTAATCGACTTGTACTTTCCTGCTTGCCCTACAAATAATATTTTCCAGATCTTTGATTTGTTGATATAGCACTGGAAAAATAAGGAAAAGGTCTGGTAAGGATGTGGGTCATAATTGGAAATGGTCTGGAAAAAGAGTGGTCTTTTAGCCTTTGCAAATGTATTTTTTGCTTATTTCCACATCTTATCTCTCAATATTACTCAAATCACATGGCAGCATCTACTTTCATTAACATCTCTCAGCTCAGCTATTTTGAGGGTCATGTAGAGATCTAAAAATGCTTGGTGGATTCTAAACAGTGTGGTTATCTAGTTACGCGGCCAGGCAGTCAATAAGGAGAGATCTGATCAGCCCCAGGTCCCTCCTTATTGGTTGGCTAGTCACGTAGCTAAAGACACCCAATAAGAGTTCTTCTGGGATTCCGCTATTATCCACCACTGATTTGCAAGACGTTCAGTACAGGAAATCCTGTGAAAGTAACCTTGATTTTGTATAGAAATGAAATTAGGAAGAAAAGATAAGAGAGGAAAAGTCGAAATTTTCGGTGTATTCATTAAAAATTATTCACAAAAAGCCTAATTGAAGCCTTCGGAAAGACATGATCACGGGCGTTCCAGTCACCAAGGGCTCATCTAATCTGAGCAATTCCTTTATAGCTGCTCACCGTAGAGAGTGACCCCTGTTGAGAAAAAGAGAAGTGTAAAGACTGGTTTCTTCTTCTGCCCTCTATTGTAGCGTTTCACACTCACTGGTTCTCTTTTCCGTTTTTGCTAATACTGGGCAAGAATTTAAGGATGCTCCGTAAACTATCGCGGAAGGGTTCATCACCATCAACGACGTCATCACTGGATCCAAGAACAGTTCGAGCTAAATTTCTCGACTTTATCGACTCGACTATATGGGCACTTCCGATTGCTACATTCATCGAGCAACGTTCAGTTGGTTAGTCCTCTTCCGTTTATAGAATATCTATCGTAGGCATACATAATTTATTTTGGACCCGAGTCATCAGCCTTACTGCACCTGCTCAAGTTTGATACCTTTCGAGCCAAATAGGTTTTCATCTTTCCTTGGACTGATCCCAGGATCATGCAAAATTTGCCATGAAATATCAAAAAGACCATGACGACTTCCTCCTACTTCCATCTATGGATCTTCACCAGTCCTGTCGACGCACCAAGGACATTGGGATTGCGAAAAAAGTAGGTAGAATAGGCGGCGATCAAAATCAAAATACTGGCGGAAGCAAGAAGTAGATGATTAGCAACTGAAAAAAACAGCAGATTTCACTCCTTTTGATTTATTATTTTTTCCAGCTATGGAGAGGTAATACAAGTAGAAAGACCTTAGCGAAAAAACATAAGTGCTTCTCCGACATTGGCAAAAAAAAAGGTTGAGGAAAAGTTTATGTGATTTTTTTCGCAACTCTTGTAAAGAAGGAAAAACCTACGAAGAGTTACAGTAACCTCTTTCCCATCCAATTTTTCCTTTCGTCATTGGCAGTGCCTTTTTCTAGACTTGCCCTTTCAATGCGATTTTTTTTCAAAAAGCCGTCATTCTTCCAATTTCCTTTTTTTTTACTGAGCGAGAGACTACAAAAGTAGACTTCTCTACGTTTTGCACAAGTTTCTATTTTCTCTACTCTAGGGGTCCTTGTCTTCGATCCCTACCATTGGTTCACTTCAGTGAATTCCACTTTCCACAGTGACCGCTGTGAATATGAACACGGTAATAAAATCGACCGGTAACAGGCCATTACAAATCTCGGATCGATGTCCGCCTAACCCAGCCAAGCCTTCCATCCCTCCAGGGTCGGCGAATTGGTGTCAGACTCGTCTGGGAGGATAAAAGCACTGACTTGTAC